ATTCATCAGGGCATTATTCCGAAATAATTTAAATGACAGTAGAGCAGCCCACTCTTGACTTAAGAAATCACAAGTCATTCAAATTCTGTATCTAATAATGAAATTGTTCCACTGACTTAGTGGTTGGCATAAATTACATGTAGCTAATATGTTCCTGTTGCAGACCCTGAGGACTCTTTGTTTATGCTAAATGTGAATGTATTCTAGCACATGAATTACTATCCTCCTGCTTGCTTCTTGGGCGCCTCCAGAATAAGTAATACGTTGGCATAACTTTGCCATTTGTCAGCCAGCAGTCTGGTAGCACATTTGCTCGTCAATCTAATTTTAACCTTTTCTCATACAAGCACTTGGTATTTCATGTAAATCAACCAGACAGTCTGTCATTCAATAGGATACTATCTTCATAGTCTTCTAAACTACATGCTCCATTGTATGCATTCATTATTAAGTAGCAGTGGAAAAGTAAAACTAATATATTATTTCTGGTTTCTTAATACCAGAATGCCAGGAATCTCTTTATTACCACAACAGAGACAAATGATATGTCTAGCAGAGGTTCTGGACAATGGGGCTGGTAATTCATTCAGCACTTTCTGAATTGAAATGTCTGTCCTGAATGGTAAGTAGTGCAGAGCATGGTTAGAGGCTTCAGAGTACCTATTCTAGCTCTGTTCCTATTATCACTCTAATTTGCAGCTAATAATGTTAAAAAGTACATTCAGCTGATTAATTGAAATAAAAAAAATTTCCCCTGTGATTCCAACGAGTTTCTTGATCAAATATGATGCTGGCTGCAAAAGAGAACATAATTCATTCTGAAATACAGATAAATTTGTCAATGCTCATTTATTTTTATAATTTGTATAAATAACATGGAAGGTTTAGTGGTATATCCTTTACTGTGTAAGGTTTTTCAGAAATTGATTTGGCTATAAAAATAATACGTTTGAAGTTTAGAATTTTTTTAGGGTTGCTGTAACTGTATCACTTTAATTTGGGTTTAAAAAATCAAAGATATTAAGGTCAGAGTCCATTTATGCAGTAATAAATAATAGTAATAAATAAATAAGACTCATTCTGGCTTATTCGGATATTTTATTGTATTATGAATGTTTTAAGAAAGCAATTGTAAAGTTGTAATAAAACAATCTGTGGTGTTGCTAAGAATTCAGTCTCACATGGCACATGTAACCATTCATTGCATAGTATAATAATAGTTACCTGTTTTATTAATTATGGAAATCATATTTTGACATAAATTTTCTTTATTGATACTTTGATATTATTAACCCTATGTTACATTTCACTCCACTCAGGCTTATGAGTGATAAAATAGAACTCATATATTTACTACTAAATTCTGTTCTGAAAAGTAATTTCTGACACTTTACTTGGTCTGGGGCAGACCCTGAATGGTGCCTGATTTCTCCTCAGCACGGTCCTCAGCAGTCCCCTTACCAGACAGCAGAAGCAAAGCTCATTTTCTCCTCTAGCATCACAAAGTCCCTCCTCAGTCCATACAGTCTTCTGCTGCAGTTTGCTAACAGATTGTATCATGCTCTGAGCCCATCCCCGTTGTCATGCCCCTTTTCTAGCAACTTCTGTGCAAAATTTACCTCTGTTAGTGTGGAACTAATTCATCTGTACTGAGTTTCTGGGTATGAGTTGCATCTAATGATATTTGTACAATTTCTACCACAACAGTTCTGTTTCTGCTTAAGGTAGCAGTGTAATAGAAGTAATAACATACAAACTGACTCCACCACTACCTCCAGCACCTTTTATATCTGCAAATCAAGTAAAGGTAATGTTTGTCCATCATGATGTAAAGTGGTGTGACTTAACTTAGTACTAATTTGACCCAAAGATTTAACCACAAATCAAGTAAATATCTTCAAAAACACAGACATGAGGTTTTTGTACACCTTGAATAAATATAAATCAGAAAAGTCTGTCCCATAAAATATTCAGGTACTTCTATCACTTAATTTTGCATAGCAAGGGTATAAAGGAGTTTATCCTCCCTGCTCTGATAAAGTTCTTGCACAGGATTTTGTTTGGCTTCTGTATCTAGAGGTTTTATGCCAGGCAGCTGCAGTTTTTGCTCTCAGGGATGTATCTAGGCAAATTCAATATGGTCAGTGAGATGGACTGTCATAAGCAATAACAGCATTTGATTTCCCTGAGCCTGTCAAAAATAATTCTACATGTAATCTGTTCATTGCATGTTCAAACCTCTGGTTTACCACCACTGTTCTTGCAGCTGTGAGTTTTACCTAGTTGAGAGAAGTGTATGTTGCCGATAAATATTTGCTCTGAAGAGAAGCAGAGAATTTCTGGGTATTAAGGGGCTCTGCATTTTTTTCCAGGAAAAATAATTTCTGGTTATAATTACTTATTGTTCATGCATTAAGGCACGTATAGTTGCGTTTAACAAACATCCTCTTTCCCTTCAAATTTTCCGTGACTCTGATCCTTAAAGATTACTGAAGAAATAAATCAATGAACAGGATCAAAATTACAAAATTATATGTGAGATGAATCGAGCCTTATATCTTTATTTAAGAAGGAAATTAATGTTTTAATTCTGTGCCTGTACGAAGAAAAAAAAAAAAATGGTGTGCTACTACTGCTGACAACTTGGGTAATATTTTTCCCTGGAATACATATCTAAGTACAAATTCAGTTCTAGTTGTTAGCAATATATTCCTCCAGGTATGAAAGCAAAAATCCAGTCATGTCTATTGGAAGGTGTTTGGTAGGCAAACACAATATGGAAGCGCTTGGTCTTCCTCTTTTCATGTGATATTTTTATTCAGCAGAGAAGTTTTATTGCTAGTTATTATTAGCAAGTCATTCTGTAGCCATTTAAATTCCATTTTTGAAGGTCCATAATGGAATTCCCTAGTGTGTCACAGACCTAGTACCACATTGATGGTAAAAGCTCAGGAAAATAGTCTTTCTGATTGGTATTATATAAATACCTATAAATGCATATCAGCACCTGGTACATGGGGCTGGGCTGCTGGGTTTGTGAGAAGGCAGGGGAGATCTCTGGTGCTGCTGATATGCTGGGTCTCACCTACTGCTCTCAGGACAGCTCAGCCCCCCTTTACCTTGTGCTCCTCAGCTGCCACAAGCAGCTTGGGCTTTCGGTCCATCAGGGAATTGCTGCTCAGTAACCCCATGCACTGGACACAATTTGCTAAGGCAATTTATGTCTCCCTGTACCTGACTGTCAGTCAAAAATGGCAAAGTGCTCCCCATCCCACACGGCTCCTGGCTGGAGGAGCACATGGTGGGCTTTCTTGCAGGATCCATGGTTTTTTGGTGCTTCTGGCCTCCTAATCAACTGCCAGTTTACAACTTCAGGCTCTAATTAGCTTTCAGGAACATATGTGAAAGAAGTAACCTCCAGCAGTCCCCACAGCTTATCTCCCTGGGCTCTGCTCTCCAAATGTGGTCCTCATGGAGTGCCACTTTGCAGCTCAACTGGCCCCATCTGAGAGTGGCTCAGGACAGGGACAGGCTGAGCAGAGCTCGAGTGGTGCAGACCTTGGTGGGGGTGCACTGCAGCACCCCACATCACCCAGCCTCTGAGGGACCCCGCAGCTGCTGCAGGAACTGTGCCACCAGCTCTCAGGTGGGAGTCATCTGTAAGTGCAAGGTGGGTGAAGTTTGCTAAGGGGCTGCATTTCTTTGTAGGTGGGTGGGGGAGAGGACAGTACAGGGTGTTTGTTCCCTGGCAGCACACCCCACATGCCTTCAACTCGGGGAGAGTCAGCACAGGGTACCATTACCTCTCCACCTATGTGCATCAGGTGTGATGAGGCAGGGTGGAATATGAGCTCTTTGTTATCTTCCCACTTGGGTCTTGCAGAGGTTGGGTGGTGGCTTTATTTATTACTGTAGGTAGAGGGAAAAGTGGCAGTTCTGGTGGTAAGGGGTCCTCAGATGGAACCCGTGGGGCCTGCACTGGGCTCCTCTGCCCCTGTCTCAGGACAGCCTGGCCATGGGGAATGGGCCAGTGGGCTGCTGAACCCACTGTGCTACTGCAGGGTGTCCCACGCACTGCAGCTTCCAGCCCCACTCCAAGTTTTCCTGCCTCTTCACATTCATTAGGTGCATTCCTAATCCTATATTAGACCCTTGTCTCATCTCTGTCTGCTTTAAACATGTTTTTTCCCTTTTCTTACAGTGCTTCCCCAGCTCCTCATCTCCTGCACAGGGAAATTATGTGTACACTGGGATGCTTCTGCTCTTTATGCCTGGCTTCCCATCGAGTACCTTAGAAGTGTTACAGCTGTTTGCTGCTCTGATTCACAACCCAGCTGGCACTGATGCTTCCTAGTGCATTCCCTAAGGTAATTCTGCCTCCCTGCCATTTCTGGTTTTGTCTGAGGCTTGTCTGGGATCCCTCTGTTCTTTATCCCAAACTAATTGTATTCTGCTGCTCAGATCAAAGAAACTAGTTGTATGTCTATTAAGATGAAACTGCAATGCAGTTTACAGGGAAGAAGCTCCTTTGGGAAGTGTGAAAGCAGGTGCACAAGAGGCAGAAACACTGCACTGCAGAAAGAGTGGGGATATAAGAGATACAAAACTTCAACATATTACTCTTTAAAATAATGGATTTATTGTTCCAGTGACAATGTCCTGTGTGTCCCTGTGCTAAGAGGGCTTTTATTTCTTCCCTCTGGAACGGGGAAAGAAAGTGGTTGCTTAAATCGCTATTGACATACAACACGTGAATTCCAGATTTGATTTTATGAACAGTCTCTATCATCCTGTCTTGTCTGGACAGCCTCATGCTGTCACCATTGTACTCTCACCATTCCTATAAATAGCCTGCTTGGTTATGAAGGACTAGTAGTGTTTCCTCTGGGAAGAACTGGACTTTGACTAAAGGCATTTTAGGCCAGTTTTTGTCAAACTTTCTATAGGAGATAGGGTTTGGAGAGTAGAAAGCCTGCTAAAGAAAACCAGTAATCAAAGTATTAATGTTTGAAACACAGACACTTGGTGAGCCTGAAGAATCCATAGAGGAAAATGAAGTTGGAAGGAGGATGGTGGTGTGCTTTTAAAAAGGAGGCTTGGCTTCAGGGCTGGCAAGCAGCAAGGCAGCTGCCACACGGAGAACGAGGAGCTCCCTGTGATCCAGCAGAAAGCTGGGCTGCAGCACAGGGATGGCTGTGAGGTTGGCAAGTCTACTCTGCACCCGGAAAATGCACAAGGGCACTGGGGAACAGCAGGTAAGGCAACGTGTTTTTCTGTAAACTTTTGGAGAAAAATAGAAAGTACTTGTGTGTAGAAAATGTTGTGTTTCAGCTCTTTAGCTGTTAGTAAGATCTTTTGAGTGTGGAGGGCACTGGCAGGCAAACAACCAATACCCTCAAAGTTGGTTCAGTAGGGAGGGATGTGTTTAATCTTGTGAAGAGAGTGGGGATACATGGTTTTATGGGTACAGGTCATCTGGGCTGTGTGACCCTGTTCTGTGAGTAAATACATTGAAGACGCCGAAGAGAGCACACATCCTGCTGGCCATGCAGTGAGGGAAGTTCAACTGCACACAGTGCGAGAAGTTAAGCACAGTGCAGATTTGCATGGCAGGTAACAAAGCTTGGTGGGTGTCTTCTTCTGACTATTAAAAGTAACAAATGCCAAGATGTTTGAGTTTTTTCCTTACAATTAGCAACTGATCTGGAATTCAGACCCCATCTCCCACAGCCTGGGCAGTTTCCAAGGGTGCACTGAATCGACAGCAGCACCCTTTGTGCAGAGTGAGTCTGTACACGAGAAGAGAGCCCTGCCAAAAGAAAAGAAATACAGCACTGCATTCAGGGATCTGACTAGCTTCTTCTGAACAGCAAGGAAAGCACCACACTTGCCAGTTATCTCTTCTGTGCATTTCCTCAGTTGTGGCTGGGGCCATCTGATGAGTGTTTCCCTTTCGCTCCCAGCGCGGCGCAGTCTGTCTGCTGTCAGCAGCTAATGAAGTCACTCGCAAGACGCCATTCCCTGGGGAAAAGCAGGGCTATGAATAGACCTGTTACTTGCGTCTCTGGTTGCAGTGCTCTCAGCGCTTCTTTTGCTGTGCCACCGTCTCTGGTGACTGTGCCACTTACGAACAATGGTCTTTCACTCTTGAGCTACTGCTATTCCCGATGCCAAAAAGCAGTCCTCTTCCTTCTGGTAGAGCTGTGGTGCTCAGTGAGTGCTTCTGTGCCTGTCCCAATTACAGGCACAGGTTCTGATGTACCACACGCTTACCAAAAATGTGCAGAAAGTGAATGAGTAATCTTATTGCAGCAAGAGCTTTTAATAATAGTCTGCAGTGAATGTCATTGTCAGATGCTTCATCAATGCACATTCTACAATAGGAGGGGAAAGAAAAATTATTTTTTTTCTGAAACCAAAATTTTTCCATGCTACTGAAATAGAAAAGCAAACTGCTAATCTGATGAGAGCACCACCTCTTTCCCCAGCTGAGCTTGCAAGTCTAGGTACAATTAAGCTTGTGTTTAGAAGGAGTTGTGTGTTGGTCTAGGCAGAGCTGAGCTATAAAAGAAGCAAAATCAGCAGAAATAAAGACAGATAAAGAATGATGAATCATGATGACATATTGTTCAAAGTATGTAAGAACATGTAAATACTTATCACGATGTGTGGAGCATAGAGTCATTATGAGTACCAGTAGAGTCAAGGACTATTCAGTGCACTTTAGTGACTGAGTTTGTGTTTGAAATCTAATCTAAAATAACCTTACAGATGAACATCTTTGTAAGAAAATTTAGCTAACAAAGTTAATAAATGGTGAAAAAGAAAAAAAGTAATTAAAGTAACATTCAATTGGAACATGACCTGTTCTCTCTTCAGGAGATACAGGGGAAAACTTTCTTAAAAACTTTTGGTTTATATACAGCTTATTATTTTTTACCAGACTTGATGGTCTTAACAGTCTCTGCCCAAATCAAGTTGTCAAAGTTTTAATTCTCAGAAAGCAAGGGTGTAGTCTTCAACAAAAAGCAAATGTAGATTTTTCTGTGATTCAAATATCTGAACCATTCCTACATGAGCAAAGTTACAGTTGTCTCATATGAACCTTTGTTCAGATGCCTCATCCTCCTGCTTATATAAAAACAAAACAAAAGCCCCTTGTTACTCATAATTTTCTTATTAATTCTGGTTGGCTGAATAAGTTTGAGTGATTCATGACCTATGTTCAAATCTAACACAGCCTTCAATGTGTTCAGCCTGACATGTGGTGTCTTATAATATTGATATATCTCATCCACCTGGCAATCTGCATCAGCTTGCTGAAGAATGCCTTGAAGGGAAAATGATACAGTAGTGCTGATCTACTCCTCTGTCAAAGCTTTAATTAAACATTCAAGCTATCAGTTAAGAGTGAAGGAGCTTGTGGAAATGCATAAGATGCCTGTCCTGTCATTAACAATATTTCTTTTTGAAAGTTTAGGAAGATAGGAATATGCTTCTTAAATCAGATGTCTGTCCCCTGGTCAGCATCTGAATGGCATTCAAAACTCTGATCTGTCTTGCTCTCTGGTATCCTATATAAAAGAAAACACGAATGAATGCATCAGATTTTCCTGTACACTTACTCAGCACTTTTTTCCAGTTGCACCCGAAGCAGGTGGGATAAGTTCAGTAGAGCAGAGCTGGAGGAGTGCTGCTCTGGCAGCAGTTCTCATCTTTTTCCTGGACTACAGAGTTGCAAATCCAGGGATAGGTTTCTCCTTTAGGATTTGTTTCCCACTGCTGGCACCCAGACAGCCTGAAGCCTGATGAGGCAATCCTCAGCCATCCGCGGCCTGTTATCTGAGGGGTAGATCCTGGTCCAAATGAAGTTTCATTTAGTGCTGCCCCTGAAATGAGGCTCTGACAGACTACCTAGGAGTGGCACTCATATGATAAAGCCTCCTAGCTGTGTCTGCTGAGGTGTCTTATTAGGGTCATGGAGAGATTGGTTTTTCTTCCCTTAGCAGAACAGTCTAGGGATAGGACTGCAAATGCTGTCATTTCTACCCAGGGCAGAAAACCTACTTGGAATGATGAACCTTGTTATCCCTAGAAGATACTTCTCGCTTCCTTGAGTGCCATTCTAGCAGCAATTAATCTCATCCAACAGCAGTGGATATTAAAGCTACAGCCAACACCTCCAATGGTTGTTAAAAATCAGCTTCAGCAAGCTTTGCTCCCTCTCTGACCCTTTCCTGGCTTCCACATCTCCTGTGCTTGGCTGTCCTCCACCTAGGCTTTCAGGCTCAGATTTGGAAATCCCCTGCTCCTGACAGTGGACTGTTATTTTTCTGGCAATATTTACCTGCTGTCCTTGTGAAATAGAATCAAGGCCTCTGTGATGCCTGTGCTATTATTCAGAGTATTAATAGACATTATAAACAAAAGAAATTGTCAGACTTCTGCCACAAGAGCTGCACTCAGGAATTTCTTCAGGCAGGAAGCCTGTCCAGATTGGAGCTTCTGATGCTCTGTCTGCCCCCCGAACCTAGACTGGTTCTGGTTGTAAGCATGGAGCAATTACTTCCAAGGAACAATCTTCCTCAAGCGTCACTATAACAACAGAAGAAGCACAGTACCAGGTTCGTAAAGAAAACTATACACTATGGAGACTATGAACTTAGAAGAATGTAAGCAAAAGGCCAAGTCTTGAAAGATTCATTAACATGTAAGTTCAGAAGCATGAGCTAAATCAAACTGTCATTGTTCAATCCACAAGCATAGCAAATAAACCTAAGAAAGGATTTTTGAAGCAGCAGGGGAAGAAAAGAAAAATACTCCTATAAAAGTGGTGAGGATGAATCAGGTGGTAAAACATGAGAACATAAACATCAGTTCAGAATGAAGGAAAAATAGGCTTTATTACTCCACATGAGCAAACTGATGATGAAAGAGACCTAGTAAAAATGAGTGATTTTATCGGTAATATGACTGCAGACATTGTGGATAGTTGTGTGTCAGCACAGTCTGAATAAATAACTGCAATGGTTTAGTTTGCTTCTCTGTATGTTTAAAACCATAAATATTGATCAACTTTCACAATGAGACAGAAAATGCTGACATCATGAGAACGTGAAAAATATGTACTTTCCATAAGACGTTCTTAGCATATCCAGGCCACTGCTGATACTATTTATTAGATAATCTTACCTGAAATGGTTACCATGATTTTTGACTTGGAGGTCATGTACCCATCCTGTCTAATCTTCAGGTTAACATGACACAGGCAGAAGAAGGAGTTTCTGTTTTTCCTGCATTCAGGAAAGTTCATACATGCTACAGACCCAGAGAGGAACTTGCTTAGCTTTTTAGTAGAGAAAGAAAGATGTAGTCTGCAGTAGTAAGCATCTGATATCCCCAAGTCAGAAACAAGTTTGCTCTTGACTGTGTCTACAGAAAGCGCAGTGAGGCACCTCCTGTGTGTCAGCCCAAGCTCTGTGACTGCTGTGCCATGGAGGTTTGCTTATCTCCATATCCATGACTTGGCACAGTTTCTGGGAGCAACCATAGCACCACTGTTTCACCTGTTAAATTTTTGCATTCAGATGCCTCTTTCAAATTTATGTTAACTCATGAACCTCTTTACTTTTATGGGCATTTCTCATACAGTTTTAAAATTTTGTAGTGACCCTATGGTAGTTAAACACTCAAATGTCTCTCCTGATTAGAGTGGGTAAGGTCTTGCTCTAACTGAAAGAGTCTCATCCACCAGATCAGTATCTTACTCTAAATCACAAGCGAAAATAATGTTGGAAAGAATCACACCATAACTGACTCAATAAATAACTGACAACTATGAGTCAGTGTCTGCATTTCTTCCCTAACACAATACTATATGGTAGAATAGCTTTGAATAGGTTTTTCCTGTAAATTCAGGTAATAATTAACTCCCAGTGACTAAAATATCTCCAGGAGAACTGATGAGACATCTTATATAGTTACTCAAGTTTAAAAAGTTTTCACTTTAGTTCTTTCATGCAGAAACACACTTCTTTTAACTGAAGCAATTTTAAAACTGCCTCATAAATATAATGACAGATGTACTCTTAGAGCATAGTTTTAAGCTAGAATGAGTTTGTATTCCAGGCAAATGTATACAGAGTATGTGCATGGAGTTTTATTTTTTATCCCGTTTATAAGACAGAAGCCATTTTAGTGCCTCTTTAGTGGCAATACAATCATCTCTGGGATGAAATATAACTGTACCAGATCA